AAATCAAATAAAAAAAAAGCTTTCACACATACATGCCTGAAACAAGACTATCAAAAGATGATCCTACCACAAACCAGTAAGTAATATGACCTACTACAAGGAGTTCTCAGGATTGCAATATTCCAGAAAAGGTGTTCGCACAAGGACACAAGCCTAGCAATGGCTGTGTCAGCCAATAAGCGCATACCATTAGCGAGAAGACCCCTGCAATCTCTGATTTCAACAGTCTCCACGAGATTTTTTTTTTTTTTGTCTTTAAAAGATTTCTCTTTATTTCCAGTCTCCTGGATATGTCAGTGGCCATATTGAGTATACCCCGAATAACAATTCTTTGTTTTTCCCAAATAAATTCATTTACTCTGGAGCACCCGAAACATACAAAAACTCAAGAGAATTTATTTTTAGGTTGATAAAATACAATACACACTAAATGTATAATTTAAAATGCTTAAAGGAATTTAGTTTACTATATTATAAAAGCCCTTTTAAAATTTGCTAGATTTATAAATGTTCTTAGAGCCTAAGGAAAAATGAGTAACATTTTAATGAATCAGTTATTAATTTTTAAAAACCTAGCTCCTTAGTAATATTTTTGTGCCCAAAAGCAAGCGTCAAGGACACCAGAAAACTCACAATGACAGTAATAACTTCTTTAGCCCAAAGCTTCTTAAGCTACCACAAGTTAGAACAACTGGAGAATAGCAAATGTTGGAATCAAATATTTTGTTGGTCAGCTCAATTTTGATTAATTTGCTTTGGGGCAGTATTTTCCATGGCACACACACAAAAAAAGTTCCAGGATTTTAAAACTTTGGGACAATGCTGAGTTTAACACTTTTTTTCTTACTGTAGGATTTTACAAAGCCTTACTAGGCCAGTGTATGTGATTCTCTAAAAGCATATGGTATACTATCTGTCCCAAACCTAGGCTATTCATTGTGTGTTTATTCATTAAGTCATTCCACAAATATTTATTGAGTGAGCATCATTTTATCTTTCTGGGATAAAGCAAAGAACACAAGAGAGAATTTTTTTTTACCTCGGGAAATTTACGTTTAGTAGAAGATCCAAAAATAAACATAAATGAAGGGCTAATGGAGGGACCGATCCCCAGCTTGCCATGCAGGCCCACCCCCGGGGCACGCTGAGACAGCCATTGAGACTGAGTGTGGTGGCACATACCTGTAATCCCAGCGCTTGGGAGGCTGAAAACAGGAAGATCACTACAAGTCTGATCTGTGTAGTGAGACCCTGTACTAAATACACAAATAAATAAAGAGCTAGATGTGTATCTCAGGTGGAACACTTGGCTGGCATAGAAAAAGTCTTGGATGCAGTAGCAACACACACACACACACACACACACACACACACACACACATGCAAAATGTGTGTTAGATGTTATTCTGTGAATTAAAATAAAATTGGAAAAGGTGACAAAATTTATTCTTACACCTAAAAATTAGTAATGTTTTAATACCAAGTAAATGTCTAATTTCTCAGCTCCTCTCCTGCATCAGCCTCCCAAGTGGATGGATTTAGGTATTAGCCACCACACCAGCTTTTCCCCCCATCTTAATAGTGTTTTTGAAGTGGGATGCATATAATATCCACTGTAGTTAGGTGATACCTTTCTTTCTCTTTTTTTCTAACTGGGGATTGGACCTAGGGCTTAATGCATAATTGATATCTTTTAGATCTCTTTTAATCTGTACATCTTCTCCCTAACTCCACCCCCCACCAAAATTCTGGAATTATAATTTATTTGCTAAAAATACTATTTTTTTTTGTTTTGACTATAGTTTGAAGGTAGAGCAGGTAGGATTTGTTAATGGATTAGAATTGAAAGGTATATCCTATATGTATGTGTGGGCAGGGAGATGCAAAGATGACCCAAAGTTTTATGTCTAAAAACCAGGAAAATGTTCTGACATGAAGGACCTCAAAGAATGCAAACTTGGGGGAAAGAACAAAAGTTTAATTTTGGACCTACAGAGTCTGACCTGCCCATTAGAGATCCAAGGGAGGCATGTTTTCAAGAATATTTTTAGGAAAGACTGCTTTTGTTCTAATATTTCTTGGTCATCATTCTAACTTAGAAACTAATCCTGCCTAGTGTGGGGGATGCATTCTGCTCAATTTGCATGAGGAAGAAAATAATGTGTTTCAGGAATCATAAGAGGGCCTGTGGGATAGCTCAGTGGACTAAGCCCCTGCTTAGGAAAATGCAGGGACTGAGATTCGATCCCCGGTACCACAGGCTGAGCCAGCCCCAGCCGTGGGCGCACTGAGCTAGCCACTGAGTCCAGATGTGGTGGCACACACCTATAATCCCAGAGTGGGGGAGGGTGAAAACAGGATCACTATGCATCTGAGCTGCATAGTGAGACCCTGTACTAAATACATTTTTAAAAAGGGAATCATAACAGAGTAAATATATAAAACTTGTTCTTGCTGAAGAACAAAACCAATATTGGACTATTTCTTCTAAAATAGTCAGTGAAACAGCTGATTTTCAAGTAAATCCAAAAGGCAAAATAAAATTTTCTTCATCACTAGAGAAGGAAATGAAATTAAAAGTTACATTCATTTTTTAAAAGTTTGTACCACCAGGTAGAGTGGCACATTCCTGTAAGCCCAGTACTCAGGAGGCTGAGGCAGGAGGATCGCTGGGAGTTCAAGGCCAGCCTGGGCTACATAGTAAGCTCAATGCCAGCCTGGACTACACAGCAAGACCCTGTCTCAAAAAAATTGTTTGTAGATTGATGCAGGCTGATCCAAAAACCACATATATTTGGGTCAGGATTTCTTGGAAGAAATTTACTCCTATTTCTGCCAGCAGTATGAAATCTTCTTCAATTTGCATTTTTTTGGGGGAAAAACACAAACTACTTCTAAAGAAGAAGCTATTTCTACCAATTACAGTAGAAATAACAACTAGATAAAGAAAAATATGGCACTCTAAAATTGTGCTGAGTGGTTATAAAAAAATGTGAGATACACACTCAAATTCTTGGCTCCCAGTGGTGATATGAAAAACCATCTTCCTCTTTTCGCTATATTCAAATGCAGTCAAGAAGCCTGGTTCCTAGGGAAAGATAAAGGACAGGATCAGAAAGGGGAGGTGATGATAGCTGGAACCAAATGCCAAAAGCTATATTCTTCCTTATCAAAGTCATCATTTAGTACCAGCTACAGCACCTTTTGTCTTTGAAGGCAGCTCCAGATAATGGTTGAAATACAAAGACTTTGGAGTCAGCTTAGATAGATTCAAACTATACCTCTAATGATTGTCAGTTGTAACATGTGGAGTAAACTACTTGAATCTTGCTGTACTTCAGCTTCCGGATAATAAGTGTTTCTTCTATAGAGTCACCATGAACTTTAAAGAAATATACTACTTATGGCCCAATGTTTCAGTTGGTTCCATTCAACACCATCATTTTCCAGCTCTAGAAGTTTTAAGGAGTGAAAAATTCCAGTTTTCATTATCGATGTGACAATTTTTTACATGACTGATATTTATTTGGTGAATTAATAAGCTACAACTGATGCAATGAAGGAATTAGCTTAAGTGGACCCTGATGTAGTTGAATGCATTTTTCTTTTTGTTGTTTCATACTATAACAGTGGTTCTCAAACTGTAGAACTTGGGGGAGGAAAGAACAAGCCCAGGCCTGACTATAGCTATGAAAAGGTAAGACTCTGAGTGCAGTAAAGGGTGCTTGCAGAAAAGGGAGGTTTTCTCCTTAATAATAAGATTCGCTTTCCAAAGAAAAGCTAGTGCCTAGGAGATAAACCAAGTCCTGAGCCCTGGGTACTGCTCCAGGGCTTCCTTAGCCAGCCTGGAAGTTATGGACTTAATCTGTGGATACACTGACCCAGGAGCTAAAGAGACAGGGCTGGGTTCAGAGTAGTTCAACTGGATCCTCTCCAAGTTCAGGACCACACTGCCACTTGCATCAAACTCCACCCATTTCTGAAGAAGGAAACCGAGGGTAAAGAAAGCTTTCAGACTCATTGGGAATGAGATTTACACGTACAAATGGAGAAGTGAAGAGGCCTGATCCACAGACAGGGAACTTGGTGACACTTTTCTGTACATTGCTATTTCCAGAACTGGTGCCTTTTGGGTCCCCCACAGGCTGCTGAGTCTGTGGGCCCAGCTAGGGGTGACTTTAGCTCAGGTGCTTCAGTGAACATATGCTAAGTCATATGTATCTCAACTGCACACACATGGACCCAACCCTGCTAGTCTTTTTCTAGCTCAGTGCTTTCTTGTCAATTGTTTACTGCCAGGAGAGAACAACTTCTTTCATACCAAGTGTTTTATAGCAACCATAGATATATTTGAGGACACAAGTCAAACACAGGAAGGTAAAAAACAAACACACATACAAAAGAAAAGGCAGAGAAACAGAAATCTAGATGAAGTAATATAAAAGGAAATAAAAAATCAAAGTTTTGGTAAAAATAAGTACTTTAGTCTTCCAGGCCTCTTAATCCTTACATAAATCTTCCAAAAACTGAGTGTTGTTACTTTGAAAGTGAAATAATACAAAGTTAACACGAAGGGCTGGGGAGATAGCTCAGTGGCATAAGTGCCTTGCCTGGAAGCCCAAGGTCCTGGGTTTGATCTGTGGTTAAAAAAAAAAAGTTAACATGGAGAGTATAGCATTTGTGACCTATAAGAACAGAGTTCCCACAATAGTTTCTAATATTCATAATGAGGAAGCCACAGAGACTCACAGAAGCTTTTTTAAGCTTAAGCAGCAAAGAATAGATTTGGCTTACAATAAGTTTGTTGGCTGCCTCTTTAATCTTGTCCACTTTGGCTTCTGAGAGCCCTTTGACATTGCATAGGGCTCTTCTTGTTGTCATTTGTATCCCTTTGATGGTACAGATTCCTACTGACTTCAGCTTCTTAATGTCAGCCACGTTCTGTAAGTAAAAGAATGGGCACAGCAGATTGATAAAATGCCATTCTGAAAGGTTCCTATACTATGCCATGTGCTTGCATGTCCGTCTCCATCCATCACCATGCCAATTTTATACAAGCAACCAGGTGGAACCCACCCACCATGGAGCCAAATGTTCTGGAAATATCTGAGTAGAACATACTCAGCAGGCTGCCAAATGTTCTGGCTGTGCCCCGATTTCCCAAGAATGTTAGTGAGACCATGGCAATGTAACAAGGAATGCAACAGAAAAGTTGGTTGGTGGAAAAGCTAACACATTTATCACACATTCACCCCCTCAGTTCAGCTCCTTCCTTCTACAGAACTTCTTTACCAGTATGTTCTACAATTTTAATTTTTTTTCTTCTGCTCCTGGAAGATGCAAAGAACTACATCACCAAGAGGCTTGGATTTTCTTTTGTTTCTATTTTCTAAAACCAGTAGAAAGTTTAAATACAAGGGCTTCAGGAGATGTCAGTCCTACTATCAATGGTTGCAAATGAAATCCATCCAGCTTGTTACTTAAGTCTGAATTTCTGCCATCCTTTACTCCAGCTACCAATAAATAGGATTGTTTTTCTTCTCTTTCTTTCTTTCTTTCTTTC